CGGCGAACCATGGTCTCCGTGGCCAGTACAGGGCCACTAGAAGAACCTCTGCCTTCTCCCGAAGAAGCTTGCGGACAACCACTGGAAGAAGAGGAGGGAAGGCATAAAGCAGTCCCTCCGGCCATGGGCTCTGAAGGGCATCTTCGCGTTCTGACCCTGGAGATGGAAAGCGGGAAAAGAATCGCTGGAGATGAGCGTTTGTCGGGGAGGCAAAAAGGTCTAGAACTGGCAATCCGAAGCAGTGACAGATCTCCCTGAAGATCCTTGGGTGCAGGCGCCATTCCGAATAGTCCACCGTCGCCTAGCTCAGGAAGTCAGCCTGAGTGTTTGCCTCCCCTGAAATGTGGTCGGCCTTGATGGAGGCAAGGTTGACTTCTGCCCAGGAGCCCAGTAGGAGTGCCTTGGTCAAGAGTGCATGAGATCGGATGCCCCCTTGCCGGTTCACGTGTGCCTTGGCAGCCACGTTGTCAGTGAGGACCAAAATGTGACGCTTCGCTACTGTACTGCGAAAGTGGCGGAGGGCCAGGTGTACGGCCCTGAGCTCCAGCCAGTTGATATTGTGCCGAAGGTTGGAGCGGGACCAACGGCCCTGGGCCCACTGTGAGCGAAGGTGCGCTCCCCAGCCGAACAGGCTGGCGTCGGTCGTAAGGGTGAGTCGATCGGGCTCCTTGAAGTAGGACCCCCTGAGCATGGCCGACGAGAGCCACCATGTGAGGGATCGCGAGATGTGAAGCGGAAGTCTCACCCTTCAATTGGAGGAACTGATGTTCAGTCTCTGGAAGGGGAGTAGGAACCACTGGAGGTTCCTGGAGTGGAGCCTGGCCCAAGGTACAATCGCAATGGCCGAGATCATCTTCCCCAGTAATTTGGAGAGGCTGGCCAACGTTACCGTTCAATCCCTGCACAATTGGAGAATCGACTCCCTGATGCTGTCCCGGCGTTCTTGGGATAGACCCAGCATTCCATCGTGTCTAGGATGGCCCCTAGGTGTAATAACCTTGTTGCGGGGATCATATGGCTCTTGGAGAAGTTTACCGAGAACCCGTGATTCTGAAGCAGCCTTATCACCAGTTCGAGATCCGCCTGAGCGGCCTGGATCGACGACGACCGGATTAGAATGTCGTCCAGGTAGCACTGGACTCTGACTGGCACCTGAGCTGCTAGAACCGCCAGGATCTTGGTAAAGACTGTCGGAGCTGAGGATAGGCCAAACGGGAGTGCCCTGTACTGATAATGGTGACCCCTGTGGGGAAATCTTAGAAACCGGCGGTGGGTGACAGAGATGGGGATGTGGAGGTACGCTTCCGTGAGGTTGATAGACGTCAGGAAGTCCCCCCTTCTTACGCTTCCCAAGATGGACTGGAGCGTTTGCATCTTGAATTTGCGGTATGCAAGATGATAGTTTAATCCTTTTAGATCCAGGATGGCTCTCCATCCCCCTGACGCTTTGGGGACGACGAAGAGTAAAACCCCCAACCTCTCTGATCCAGTGGCACCGGTTCTATGGCCCATATGTTCAAGAGGTGATGGATGGCCTCTCGCATTAGTCTTTTCTTTGTTGAATGTGGGGGGGAGGGGGAGGAACGAAACCCTCCACTCCTAGTTAAAGGCAAACAGTTCTTCAACCAACTGAGAGTGCTGAATACAGCACTGTCTCAGAAGACTGAAGAGAATAGAGAATAAAGAACCACCAATGGAAACTGTACCTGCCTAAGAGCCAACTTGCTACATCTATCTTGGGCAAGATCAAGTCGAGACTGGGACACTCTAGCCCAGGACAGGCATTGCAACTTTGGCTGACTTGATCTGATTGGGCAGGAACACAGTCTAAACCCCATTGGTAGATTCTCCATCTCCAGTGCTGGAGAACAAAATCTCTATTGTACATTCTTCAGCATTAAAAATAAGCTATTTAAACGACCTTGATGAATTATATAGAATCACTAGCTTGCTGGTATACTTTCATAATCTGATAGAAACTTTTTCAGGACTAAGTATGCTTACCTAAAAGTTACTACTAATGAAGAAAAAAAAATACTGATCAGGAAGTCATATCTTCTAATTAATATGCCCCTATTTCTTTTCCAATTACGAAAGTGTCATTCAAAGTAATATTTTGATTTATACTGCCACCCATTCATATTCACAACAATAAGGTTGGAGTTGCTGTGGAAGAATAGCATTTCTGTTTCAAACAGACATTATGAATTAAAACAGGATGGAAAATTAGATTAGTCTTAAATAATAACTAATGCCTGATTAATCAGTCAAATTTACAAGTATTTCTTTCTCCCTTGAAAATGTATGTCCCAGTAGTTTGAAACTAAAGGACATACCACAAATGCAAAGGATTTGCCACAACAAAACATGCAAAGTATGGTTGAAGAATATTGAATCACTGCTTTCTAACTACACTGCAGTTGTTATACTTACTTGAAATTTCTGTAAGAAAGGAAACAGTATGTTAAAGTGCAATTGTAAATTTATTCTGACCATGTTTCTTTCTATACTATATAACAATTAAAGGCTATGTTGCTTGATTAAATACTTCTAATACAAAGTATCCCCACTGTGAGTATCCTAATAGAATAAATGTGTTAAATGCATGCAAAATGATAGAATTTATATTCAAAATTATGAATATAATTTTTGTGATAGTGCTTTGGGTCTGGAATTACTTCTCTAGTGATGTATGACTAATACATTATATTTTTTGCATCAAGTCAAGATCCTTCATTTGTCCATGCAGTTTTAACTTATAAACTATGGTTTTTGCTGATTTTTATTGCCTCTCATTTTTCATTATTACAATTTGATTAAAGATATCTAATAATTTTTAAATATGAAACTGTACTTCTCTACTATGAACCCATATATATACATATTTTAAAAAATTCTTCTTTTAATATTCATTTTTTAAAGAGTGCTATGAAGCGTAGTTCCATATGTTAAATACAAATTTATGACTATGACTAATGTTCTCTCAAGTATATTTATTTGGTACATTCATTATCCACTAATATTCTGAAACCAGAAATGCAAGATCAGGTCTAATTTATGGTCAACAACTGAATAAAATTGTCATTTCTATGTTTTATATATATCTGCCAAAATGAACAAGCTAAGGATGTCACTCTTTAAAATTAAACTAAACATTCAGGTACTGGACCGCTCTTTCAAATCCCTTTCTGGATGCACGTCTGATCTTTTGCTGATGAAAGATATATAAAATATATAATGAAAGCAAATCTAGAAAACAAACTTATTGCGTAGCAAGTAAAATTACAGTGAACAAGGTCATCATAAGTACACATAATCCTCAATAAAGCATAACTGGATCCCAATATTTTGGGCAATTTTCATCCTCTCTCCAACTTTCCTATTTTAGGAAAGGTTGTTAAAAAATAAGTCATACTGCAACTTCACATAATGCTGAAATAAGCTGCTTATTTAGATCCTATTTAGTTGAACTTTAGCATGGGACTGAAACAGCATTGACTGGACTTCTGGTAGGAGCAGGATGGAGGTACTACATCCATACTGGCTGTCCTTGATCTCTCAGTGATTTTCAAGTTAGGGGCACAATCTTTTGGTGGTTCTCCTCCTTTCTTCCTCAGTCAGTGTTGATGGAGAGTTTGAACCCACAACCCATTTTGTGAGGTTCCTCAAGGTTCACCACCACCTCCACTCCTCTTTTACATCTACACAAAGCCCCTAGGTGAGATCATTTGACAGCACAAGGTAGATATCATCAGTCTGCTGATGATAACCACTCATGTCTCCCTAGTCCAAGCCAGCCAAGTGATGCTATGTTCTCTCTCAGTATCTGGAGGCTGCATGGGTGTGAATGGGGAAGAACAAGCTTCAAGAACATGCAAGACCAAGTGGTTGTGAATTGAGGCCCTCCTGGATCTGGTGAATTTCTATCTTTATTTCTAGATGGGGTTGCACGGCCTCAGCAGAACGAGTGTACATTTGGTGAGTTCTCATGGACTCATGAGTCCTGTTCAAAGAATAGATGGCAGCTATGGCCCAGGGGGCTTTTGCACAACTCCAATTGTGTACCAAGTTTGCTCATTTATGAATCAGGTGGCACTATGCATGGTCACCCATACATTGGTCACCTCCCAACTAGAATACCATAATATGCTCTACCTGAAATATACCCTGAAGAACATTCAGAAGCTGCAATTGATCCAGAATGCAGCAGCAAGAACAACTATGGACATGCCACAGTATGCCCATGTTACAGTTTTGCCAACAGGCTTTCATATGTAATTCAAATAATTTGGCTCTACACCTTCCTGGCATAAGGCCAGGTTATTTGAAGAACTGCCTTTTTCCAATTGTCTCCATTCGTATTATCAATTAAAGAATATTATCTGGCCAGACTCAGGAAGTGTGTTGTTTCTGTAGCAATGTCATTCCTCCTGAGATTAGATTAGCCTCAACCCTTCTGAGCCTTTGCTAAGCCCTTTAAGATCTAGCTTCTCTTTCTGGGAAGAGAAGGGTTGGAGTTTAGGAAAGGTTTGAACCTGTGAGTTAAGTGAATTTCTTGTTGACTGGGTTGTTCTTGGCTGCCATTATTTAAATATGTCTTATTTATATATTCTGTTACAGTATTGTACACAATATTTGTATTGTGTTAACCACCCTAAGCTGCTCATATCAGATGGTGGTCATATAAATCTAGTAAATTAAATAAAACAATAAACAAAAAGTAAAGTGTAAAATAATGTTCACATACTCACAAAAGACAAAACTCTTTCCGAGTATCCAATCTTGTTTATTTTCCAGTAAAATAAAAATCTTAGATTGATTAACAACTAAATACCAACTTGTAGGATGGCATAATACAGTTAAAATACATAATACATTTAACCAAATCCCTAATGGAACAGATCAATTTTGTAGGTCATCTAACACTTATTCCAATATTTAGGGCCACAGTTTAAAAGTAAAGCAATTGAACTGACAAAATGACAGAGAAATATACTCACATGTAAGGAAGAAGGATCAGGTAAAAATTCAGCATCCTCTCCAAAGATAAAGTCAGGTGGCAACTCAGGATAGTGAGCATTAAAAATTATATCCCCTTAAAACAAGCAAACAGCAAAAAAATAATAATTTACCTACTGTCACAGAAAAAAAGTAAAACGCTGACTTTGATCATTACACTAACATGGTTAGTGCTTTCTACTTCTCCAGTATTGGCTTCTGTACTTGTCTTGTTTCAAGAAGCCATAAATACTAATCACAGTTTATTTGGCAAATATTAAACTATGGCCAATATAAAATAGCAGGCAAAAGCTTCTGAACTGATTATAAGTATGCCAGACTTTGAGATGTGAAGCATGTATGCCTAAGGCTTCTTGTGGCTTATTCTTCTACTGCTAAAATCAGATCACTTTGAAAAAGAAAAACATTTTAACACCTTTAAAAAAAACACCAGTCATTGTTGGAGAGCAACCGTCCCAGTTGGCAGGAGGCTGAAGTGGGAATTAGCCTAGACCAGGGGTAGGCAACCTTGGCTCTTTTATGACTCGTGGACTTCAACTCCCAGAATTCCTGAGCCAGCATGGCTGGCTCAGGAATTCTGGGAGTTGAAGTCCACGAGTCATAAAAGAGCCAAGGTTGCCTACCCCTGGCCTAGACTCACTAAATAAACACAGGAGGGCTAGGTCTGATCCCTCCCCCCAAATGCCTTTGAGCCTTATCTAGTCTTTCCCAGGCAAAAACTAGAAGTCTGAGGGGATTCCTGTATTATAGACCTAGAACAATAAAATAGCTAGTTTGAACTCTATATATGTAGGTCTGGTTGTTTGCACCTGGCAGGTAACATTCGATCGTCATCAAAAAGAACTTCCTCAAATGTCAAAAATAAAGTTTACATTGGTGAAACTATGATTGAATTTAATATGAAATACCCATTTATTTACAAGATTAAGTAGACAGGATTGTTTTGAAAATCTTTTTGGAAGTAGCTGTTTGCCCAGAATGTAAACTGTATTTCTACGCTCTAAATTAATGCAGTGTTCTAAGGCTTTTTTTAAAAAAATGATTTCCAGAATATGTAAATCTAGTCTCAGTGGTTATAAACAATGGTTTATTCAGGACCTAGGCAATCATGTCTTATTCAAAAATTATGGATGATATAAAATATAGATTAGTACATTCAAAGGACCCAGCTACCATTCCTGATTTGTCTCCAACTACTATAACTTTGCACTGTAAAACTCTTTGCAGAATACCAGCTTTAATCATTTTTCAAGCCCTTGCTTCATCTTCATACTAGCTTCATCACACACAAAAATAATGTTTCATCTACTGCTGTCAAAAGATATGCTAGTACTTTCCCTTTCAAAGTAAAGTAAATGCTGTGCTTCCTTTGAAAAAGGTTTGGAAGAGAGGCTTCAGAAAGGACAGGAATGGAAACACAGCACCTCTAAAAAAAAAGCCTTTTTGTGGACTCCTGCACGACTCTGGAGAATTACATGGCTGCTTTAATGAGTTAACTCATTAAAATAGCTGCATCTTTAACACAAATAAGCAGCAACGTAATTTTCAGGTTCATGTGAAAGCCTGAAAAAAAGCTATGGTTATTTTAAAGATATGCTACTTTCTAATAAACCCTTTCAAAATCGTTTTTAAAACATACAAACCCCAACCAATTAACAATTAATTTCAGTAAATGTTGCTATCTGTTGTAACAAACCGTTGAAATTCAAATCTTTTGATGGACTTCAGAATAGTAGAAGCTATGCTTCAAAATGCCATGCTTCAAAATATTTTATCTGAATTCGCAATATGACAGCTGTTATGATTGATACTCTGCAGAAAAACCAAAAACTCTTCTCATATAAAGAGGATGTACCAGTACCCACAAAGGAAGCATGCCCTCCTGCTGAGAAAAAAATCATGGGCACATTTTCTTACTGCAACATTTCTATGCCCTTCCCTCATTAAGTTCTCCTGTTCTTAAAGATAACAACTATACATCAAGGAACAGGATGTCTGAAGTTCCTTACAAAGCTGTCTTTTAATGACTGTTTCACTATTACGAAATATCTGCCAATAAACAGACAAGATCCTCTAAGCAGCTTTTTCACTATTAATTAAGGACTATATTATTTCTGCTTGTGCACTTTTCAAAATATATTGTTTCTACCTAGAACGTGACATACGTAGCATTTTTGGTATATGTAATACAGATTTGCATATTCATAAAGGCAGAGCTCTAAAGAATGTCACAAATTATGCCTCCATATTAGAATTTTTCATTTTAACTTCATTCTAAGATGTAGATTAGCTAGCAATTTACAATATATCACCCAAACAATGATATGGATGAAAAATGATTCCTATTTTCTCCTGTATTAACCAAAATGTTTTGGTTTGGATCATATTTGCACTCTTTCTTCTTTTAAATTAAGCTGCAGGAATGTAGAAAAATCTCGCAAAACCCAGAAACCGTGAATACATGACATTTACATTGTCATTATGCAAATGACATAGTTCGTATCAATGAACAAATGACAATATTTGCCTTGTCTGCAAAACAATGTCACTGCAAGTGATATACTCTGATTTAAGAGAAACAGGAATTATAGAATCCATTCATCTCAATTGGAAATTGATAGATTTCACTATCTTTATAGTGTGTGGGGCTGTTATGTGTGTTTTAAGAATTGCCTTGCCAACCCAACTACTTTGAAATAGCAGCTTGCCACTCAACTGTTGTGCCACTTGTGACTCAAGCACATTTAGCAATATGATCAAAAATTTCTTGAGATTTACACTGAAATGCAGTTTAGAACTTTAATAAGTGGTTCGCCATAGAAAGGTAGAAAAGATGAGATACACTCATCACCATCCTATCTGCTTTTTCTGAAGTGCTAAGTATTTTTTTCAAAATGTTTAAATATACTGTACTCTCCAAAGAATATTGAAATATAAGAGTAGAATCATATCCTATGTTCCTCAAAAGTTTACTAATTCATTTATTTATTTCAATCACCAAATAACTCTGGGTAGTTTTACACACTAGGATTAATTATTAAACTAGTCATATAATTCTTGGGTGCTTGATTTGCCTTGCAACTGTGTAACATAATGGTATATTAAATTATTGTCAACTCCTTTCTATTATCCTGCGTAATAGAACCTTTTCAGAAAAAAGAAAGATATGAACTCTTGCAAGGTTTTCAATTTTGGGGGGTTTCTCTTCTTTCAACATTTCATATAAAAACACTGAAGTCTCAAGAGAATTCTAGCCATCCTCCATACAAATTGCTTGCTTTATGTCAAAGGTCCTAATATATTTTTGTATCAGATTAAGTGTTTCAGCACATGCTGACGCTGGAAGACCAGTTGTCGGCCGTGACCAGGGGGGCGTTTTATCAGGTTCGCCTGATTCACCAGTTGCGGCCTTTTCTGGACCGGGACGCCGTACGCACGGTCACTCACGCCCTTGTCACCTCCCGCCTGGACTACTGTAATGCTCTCTACATGGGGCTCCCCTTGAGGAGCACCCGGAGGCTCCAGCTGGTCCAAAATGCGGCCGCGCGGGCGGTGTTGGGGGGGACTCGACGTTCCCACGTGACACCGCTGCTGCGCGAGCTGCATTGGCTGCCTGTGGCCTTCCGGGTNTTGGTTATTCCAGCTTGCAGGACTGGCCTAGGGTAATTTTTAGAGGGGTTTTAATTATATTTTAATTGGACAATGTTTAAATATTTCTTTTAATTAATTTTAAATTTGTAATTGTTATTTATGTATTTTAATTGATTGTCAGCCGCCCTGAGTCCGCGAGGAGAAGGGCGGGATATAAATCCAAATATAATAATAAAAATAAATAAATAAAGGGCACTCAATCCCGGAGCAAGCGAAACTTCATCTGAGCATGCAAGTGATCTAGGTTGCACGTGAAACCATCCCCCTCTAGTCTGTGGAAAAATAGTCTTCAATGAAACTGGTCCCCGGTGCCAGAAAGGTTGGGGAGCGTTGCTGTATCTGACAGTACTATAAAATGTTATATTTTTTTTAAAAATGCATTTCAAAACAAGTTCATGTTTAGCCATTGTAAAAATGCAGCATAAATTAATTGATTTAAAGAACTGTTATCCAAATCTGTCATAGTGCTATCTGTCTGTCTGTCTGTCTGTCTGTCTGTCTGTCTATCTAATCTATCTATCTATCCCATTCTGATACACACATACATACATTACATATATATATATACACACACACACACATATACATACAGCATGTATCTATGTATATGTGCACACACAAATATATACACACATACATATATACATACATACAATATGTGTGTACGTGTATGTGTGTATGTACACACACATAAGTTTCCCCCATTTTATTGATTTCTCAATTTATTTTCTATATGAAACATCTGACTAGCACAATGAACAACTTCAAAAATATCTACAAATTATAATGCATTAAATATAAGCAACAGAAGAAACCGTGAAAGAGATAACTCACAAAACCAAATTCCACTATACATGAAAGATGTCATGCTACATTAGATACCTCCACCACTGATTCAATGAGTTATGCTTCTAGTTTATGGGTAATTCACTATCTTCCTATTTGTTTTCTCCTAATGTCTTAATAATTTTTTCTTAATTTTATTATCAGCCTGATTCATGTCTGTGAATATGTAATGAACTTTTATCAAATGACTTATACAGAAGATACTTTCCACTGAATTAAAAACATCACTACTGGAATGGAAATAACAAACACAAATATCTTTATTAAAAACAAATATATTGTTGAGTTTTCTTTTTTAAAACAAGGTCAAGGGGCTAAAGAGAGGTACAGCTGCTCTAGAGTAGCAGTTGAGTGGGGAGATTACAGTATTACCACATGTAGTGCTCCTGCATATGTACATAAAGACACAAAAACTATTACTTAAACTAAGAGAGCCTTGTGCAGAAAGAAGCAGCATACAAATGCACAATTTTAATTGCTGAACGAATAGCAAAATGTAGGCTGATTTGCCTGGGACCCTGGAACTCTACTCATTCAAACAGAGACTAGATTTACATATAAAGCTAAGCTATGGTTTGCTTAAGCATGCTTTACTCAATAAACTTCTGTGTTCACATCACATGCTAAAATAAAATGAAATATAAACTAAGTATATGTTAAGAACTTAGTATGATTTCGGGACCAGCCAGAAAGTTCAAATATTTTTTTCAACCTCAATTGCTAGTGCTACAGCAAAGCTGAACTGACAGTATGAATGAAAGAGCAAAAATAAGTTTTCATTTATCTTAAAAAGCTAACAGAGGCAAAGAACTGGCCTTGCACCTCCTTCCTTGATGTCCTGTCCCTAACAAAATTGCTGTTAAAATTGTTCAGTTTCCTACTTAACCCTCTTTTTAAAGTTGTCTAAACTGGCTGCTTCCCATTCTAACTATGAGTTGCATGAATAGGCCTTATCTACCATTTGATATATTTTCAATGAGCCACAACCTCAAAATCTTTTCCTAATTATAGTAGCCACCATCGGCATCTATGTAAAATCAGAATTATTTACTGAACCTTCTCATTCTACATCTGATTGCAGTAACAGATTTGCAGTTTATCTGCCTGTTCATTCTGCTTACAGCAATGATTTAAAATTCTTCACAATACTTTTACCTGTTTGTTTTAAACATCGTGAATAATCCGCTACAATCAAAAACTTGGCCACTTTTATCTTTAGACAGTCTCCTCCCTCTGACTGCCATGTGGGTTTCTTCCCACAAGGCATTCTTGCATTGAGTTGCCAGCTCCAGGTTATATGGCACCTTAGGCCACATTAATTGATGGTTCCATCTCCCACCAAAGAGAAGATTTGCGTTTTTATAATGAATTAGAAGGAGAAACGGCATTGGTGTCCCAGTACTTACTTAGCCTAAAACTGACCCAACCTTTGCATGGAGTGAATGGTCACTACTTGAACACAAATGTTAAAAGAAAAGGAATAATATCAGCAGAAACTACTAAAAATATTACTAACACAATAACAATTTAAATAAATAAAAAGATGTTCACTTGATGGAATATAGAACAGACAACAGGCAACTTTCTATAAGGAATGGGTTCTACAGATGAGAAAAAGCAAAAAAAGACCTGCATAACAGAAATTATTAATTTAGCTACAGAATCAAAAAGCCAGTGAAGATTTGCAGATTATTTTAAGACACTAAGTACTTACATTTTAATGTTTCTCCAGCATATGGAATATGCAACTTAAATCGATCACAGCTTGGTCCAAGGGTTAATGATGTGCAGCTACAATTAAAAAAAAATACTAATCTGAGTTTTTATGACGATTATAGGTGTTACTCATATTGTAATTACATAAAATTAGCTATATAAATTACCATATATTAAGAACTTTACTGTGTTTTTAAATGTTTTCTACTATTACATATGTTACTTGTTTTGGGGGACAAAAAGGTGGGCTACATGTTGGCAAGCTGTGCAAAGCAAAATAAAGTAGGATGAGCCCAAATGCTCAAAAATATCCAAGTAACCGCAATTACAGCTGCTTCAAAAGGTTTCTCCATCTCTAACATATGCACAGTCAAAATTTCTGGTGGGATTGCCAATGCAAGCACGCTCCCAATGCATACAGTTAAGAGATAATCTTTAAAGCAGTGATGCTGGCCATTCCAGAGGATGCAGCTGTTTTAATACTTGAGGAAGTTCATTTATTTCGCAATGCATCTCTTTCAAATGGTCTCCATAACGCAACAAATTGCAAATAGGCAAACTACAGCATACAATATATTTTTTTTAATTTCACACTCCACAACAATGCATACATTTTCATTTATTTTTACATTTATCATCATCATTCTATTATTTCAGATTTTGCAACAATAGCAACATACATTAGCTCAAATAAGTCTGATTCCTTTGTAACGTTGGTAGACAGGTTGTTTTGTCTTTGAGCTTGAATTCCCAAACTCTGCAAATAAAAGTTTCTTGGAATTCTAAATATAGATTTGTTAAACATTATTACTTTTTTTGTAAATAGTAATATTTTTTACAGATAAAACATTGGTGATAAGCTTTCATTTTGACATTTTAATAAAATATTTTAACTGTTAACCATCTAGCTCACTTGATACATTTGTTAATGATTCTCATAAAAGCTTTTTTGCTTTTTTGGGGGGGGTAGCACCTACATTGTGAATGGCCCCATCTATAGGCTGGGGAGTGACATGGAGATAGAATGATTTACTGTATATAAACAGTTTTTTTAAAAAAAGCAAGAATGGAGTATTGCCTAATGTAAGTATGAAATCTAAGGTTTTAGAGTTAATTCTTCTATTAGTAACAACCTTTAAAATGTACTTATATCATTTTTTCTACTTTTATACTATGCAGAAGAAGCCTCTATATAATCCAAGTTAGCCTTGATTAGCCTACGCCAGGGGTGTCAAACTGCACCAGGTTAGCCTTGATTAGCCTACGCCAGGGGTGTCAAACCGCGTCATCCGGAAGCCACATCCACCCCACTGCCAGCAATGGCAAAACCGTCCCGATACGTTGTAAGAGTTTGACATGTCTGGCCTACGCCCTTCCACTGGTCACTAAGACTGCAATCCTATATTTTCTCCTTATTGAACAAAGAAAGTTCATTTTTATAAGAGACCATTCTCAGGATTCTGTTTTGGGAACTGTTAAGAGGAAAGACCTAAAATTAATGCCACAGTGCTGCAATGGGAGCCTCTGGGAATACCCAATGTCTTGCTTAATGCTACTCAGCATCTGCATGTTTCCAACCTACTAAACGCTTGTGGAGATTTGGCAATGAATGCACAATCCAAATCAAAGAGTAAGTAGCCTATGATGCCAGGGGAAAATTACAGTATAGTATTTGAAGCTTATAATGCATTCTTAAATAGAAAAATCTTACTTTTAGGTTTTCCTCAACAAAATTATTTCTATTGTGCACTCAAACTTATGAAGACATCAGATTTTACATCTTTTTTTTTTGCTTTAGGCTACATTCTGATGAATCCTAAATCCTTCCTAACAATAATAAATATTACCTATTAATATTTCATTTTTCTGTAGTTTCATAGCATTCAAAATGAAAATGGTTTTGGCTATGTGACATACAGTAAATCCAAATTATTGTTAGCATTTCTACCACTTGGTTGCAAGGCCAAATGTTTTTGTCCATTTCGCACAGAAAAAGCCATTGTGTGTTTTGTTGTTCAGGTAACTCTTCACAGAGTTTGACACTGATTAAGGCTGAGAGGAAGTGATTGGTTCAAGGTGGCCCATGTATTTAAAGAAGGACTAGAAACTCAGTTTCCCAATCCTAGCCCAACACCTTAACCATTATGCCACACTAGCTGTCTACATGAATCCAAGGAGACTTTTGAATGTAAAAAAATGTTTCAGATTTTGCAAGTATAATATTTCCTTTTTGTCTACTGCTGAAAAACAAATGGAGAAGGATATATCTAGTATTATAATAAAAGAGATATTAAAAGCAACAATAAGTATTTTTCAAGGCTCTTAAAGTCTGCTTTCTAAAATATTTTACTACTCTAAAGTGAAAGCTGACGGCATACGCAGTTGCATTTTGCCCAATTATTTCTGTTTGAGGAAGCGTCACATGAGATTTGAAAAATGGCTATTATCTGAACAACAAAAGGCCCACCTTGGAAAAATTACCCAAATACCTGCAAAGAGCTATAAAAAGTTCCAAGAATCAGGAAATAATGCTAATAATGCAGTAATTTTAGCATTCTTATGCCAAGAAGAAGTATGTGATATATAAAGTGTTTATCTATGACTTTCCTAGTTATATACAGCACATAAAAACTGAAAAGAACTATCAAGCTTTTATTTACCACAAAAAGAGCAAGAATTTTCCAGGACAAAATTCCTTGACAGGAGCCCATCAATATTATTTACGATTTTTCAATTCATTTCCAAGGTAGTTTAAACAGAGGAGTCTGTATTTTTAAAGATCTAAGTAGTATAGATGTTTAAAGAATGACTTCTAACTGTAAAGATTTTCCAGAAGAGATCTTGTTCAGTGCCCCAATACAGTTGGAAAGCATTCTGGGTCATTATCCATAAAAGAATTCTTTCAATAATGGAACCTAGAGTTAAAATGTATTGCAGGTTCCTTCTTTGCTCATTTTTAGAAATTCTGTCTATATCTTAATATTTAGATCTTTATTTTTTCTGGATATTAGTCTACTTTCTGGATTTAAGACTTTTAACCTTTGCTCTTTTTATGACTGTATCAAATTGACCCTATACTGTGCTCCTTATTTACTCTAGGTCAGGAGCATTAGCAGCCATTTTGGCTGCCCATAATTGATACAATAAACAAATTGTAAGCTTCTCAGCTCCTTCTTCTATTATAATTATATGAACTAAAGCTAGCATTGTGAATGCGCTTATTACATTATGTGAACATTATTTCTTTTATCGTCTAAAGCATAAACATGGCAGCTATTAGATTATACCTGTGTTTCTCTGAAAATAAGACCGGGTCTTATACCGTGTTTCCCTGAAAGTAAGACCCAGTCATGGAACTAAAAAAAGTTCAGTCAAACCTTCCAACTTCGCGAGATCTTTTTTTTCCCCCGCGAACTCTGTTTCCCTACAGCAGGAGAGAAACACGCCAGAGCTGGAAAGCAGGTTAGTGAAGAATTTTTTTGCTTTTGGGAAGAGGGAGGAGCTGGGCGATGGTGCACCAAGCTCTATAACAGCGCTGGGAGGAGAAGCAGCAGGAAACAGGGCTGCCATTTCAAGAACGGAGAAGGGAGATGTGGGGCAATGCAGGGCGGCAAGCAAGTGCTCTTCTCTGCTCTGCATCGCTACGCAGAGCCGCTCTACTTCCCACTCTCTGTTCTCTCCAATGGTGGTGACGGAGGGTTGGCGGAGAGAGGTGGCGGTCATGGCACAAGCCAAGGGAGAGTTGGCGGAGGAGGTGGTGGTAGCTGCTGCCAGGCAGGTGATCTGTGGGACGGAGCATGAAGAAAGCCCCTCCAGTAGTGCACAGCAGCAGCAGAGCCTTTCGCCGTCAGTTCCCCTCTGGCTCCAAAATAGCGAAGAGGGACCAGGTCTACCCTGCCCATCCTCCGTACGGTAGCATGGTAGTCTGGCTCGGGAGGTGAGTGAAAGTAGGGCTTATTTTCCGGTTAGGTCTTATTTTCGGGGAAACACGAAACACGGGAAAACAAGACAAGAAGTATTGACAGAAATATTATTCGTAGCATTTGTTTCACAGCATAAAGTTATTATTAGTTTTATCTATTATTAGTTTTATCCCGGCTTCAGGCCGGGATACAGCACGGAAACGGCATTGGTCACATTGGTAAATGATTTCTGGAGGGCCCGGGACAGGGGTTGTTCCTCTGTCCTAGTTCTTTTGGACCTCTCAGCGGCTTTTGATACGGTGGACCACGGTATCATGCTGCGGCGTCTGGTTGAGTTGGGAGTGGGAGGCACGGTGATGCGGTGGTTCTCCTCCTTCCTCACCGACCGCACGCAGTCTGTATTGGCAGGGGGGCAGAGGTCGACCCCNCCACAACACTGTCTTATGCCCTGGGATGTCAAACTAACCTATTAGGCTATATTACTATTATCCTTCTCATCTTTCCTATTACCCATTTCCTTATGATTTATGTTGATTGTTTTTATTTAGTATCCTATTATGATTTATGTTGATTGCTTATTTATTACCCTATGACTATCACTGTTGTATCTTATGATTTATGATGATTGTATTTTATGATTATGATTTATCACTTGTTGCTTGTATGTACACAGAGAGCTTATGCACTAGAGACAAATTCCTTGTGTGTCCAATCACACTTGGCTAATAAAGAATTCTATTCTAAACTTGGAGTTTTCCAGGTAAGTTTGCTTAAAATCTTCAGAATGTCCAACAAGCATAGCGAAAATTGAAGAAAAATTAATCTAAGTACTGGCAGCTATTATTAGGCAGATAAAATCTTCTTTGAATTGAGTTCAAGTCTTGTTGACCTATGGATATTTCTGTCTTTTTTAATGGAGGGGGGCAACAATACCATATTTTGATATTTTTCTTTTCCAATTTAGCTTATGGCTCTGTTTCTTGATGGTCACCCATCCAATTTAACCATATCTGATGCTACTGGTAGTTAGCATTTCAGATAAGTACAAGGTTATGGATGCAAATGGGCTGGAAGTACAGAAAATCCATGAATATAAACTTATTTCACTATGGGGGAGCAGTTAGACTAATAGAAAGCAATCAATAGTCACCCTCTCATCCACAGAAGCAGACTACATACCTGAAGATAATTAATCTGGATGCATAAATTAGTCCCACAATTATGCATGAGGATAATAAAAGTTGCAATCTGATTTCCAAATCAGAGAAAATTTCTGTGTAAAGCACATTGGTGCCAATTACTATTCTGGCGTTTTACCGGGTGCGCCTGGTGCACCAGTTGCGGCCTTTTCTGGACCGGGATGCCTTGCGCACAGTCACCCACGCTCTTGTCACCTCCCGCCTGGATTACTGTAATGCTCTCTACATGGGGCTTCCCTTGAGGAGCACTCGGAGGCTCCAGTTAGTCCAGAATGCGGCCGCGCGAGCGGTGATGGGAGCGACTCGTTGCTCCCATGTAACGCCGCTACTGCGCGAGCTGCACTGGCTGCCTGTGGCCTTCCGAGTGCGCTTCAAGGTGTTGATTATCATCTTTAAAGCGCGCCATGNCATGGCATTGGACCTGGTTATATCCGAGACCGCCTTCTGCCACAGATTGCTTCCCACCGGCCGATACGCTCCCACAGAGAGGCCCTCATCAGGGTGCCGTCGGCCAGACAGTGTCGGCTGGCGACCCCCAGGGCAAGGGCCTTCTCTGTCGGAGCACCCACCCTCTGGAACGAGCTGCCCCCAGAGATCCGGGTCATTCTGGATCTCCCCTCCTTCCGCCGCGCCCTTAAGACCTGGTTGTTCCAGCGGGCAGGACTTGTCTAGGGGTATTTTAAATTGGTTTTAGCCAAATTTTAGTAGTAGCGGCCGATTATATATTTATTTTTAATGATTTTTTAAAATTTCTATTGTATTGTATTAAATTGTTTTTAACTGGCTGTAAGCCGCCCTGAGTCCTACGGGAGAAGGGCGGGGTATAAATTTAATAAAATGAAATGAAAAAAAAAATCTCTAGTTTTACAAAAGAAACAATGACACTGATTTAGCGACCGTTCAAAGTTACAATGGCACTGAAAAAAATGATCTACAACTAGTCTTATGACTGTCACAGAATCCTGTCAGGTGAACAAAATTCAGGCTCTTGACCACTGGAATCTATTTATGGCGGTTACAGCATTCCAGGGTTATGTGATTGGCATTTGTAACCTTCCTTCAATAAGCAATGGAGAGGTCTGGATTCATTTAATGACTGTGTGATTCATTTAATTGCATTTATTCGTTTAACAACTGAGGCAAAAAAAACCCCCATAAAATTGGGCACAACTCATTTAACAACTGCCTTGTTTAACAATGAAAATTCTGGTCCCAATTTTGATCATAAATCAAGGACTACTTGCATTACAAACAGTTTATCGACAGTCCATCAATCACCAAATGTGAACCAAGTTAAGAACCACTATCCCATTTAGGTTTCAAATTTTATTCAGGTGGAAAAACGATGTTAATGACTATTGGAAACTGCTGCATATCAAATCAAACTATTCACTGTGAAGATGGACTGAAAACTGCTCTCTAAGGTTACACACTGGGGTCTTTCCAAATTCTATTGAGAGAATTAAGAGACAAAATGTGGCACTCCTTTTATGCAGGAAAAGCAGCATAAGATATTTGTCACAAAGTGGAAGACCTGCCTTTACTCATTCCATATACCACTCCATTCACCTTTGAGCATTTCTTGACCAAAACAAAATATTTGGGATTGTAAATTCTCTGGAAAAAGTCTTAGCCATGACCCAAACCAAGAATACCACCACCACTTGTCTTTTCTATTTTGAATGAAAAAAGGTGTGAAATGTTCAATTCTAGTGACCAGATGAGCCATTAATCAATCATATCCAACAATTCAGTTTCTTCTCCTTTGTAGAACCAACTAAAGGAAGACAGCAGAAGCCATAGCTGAAAGGTGCTGTACTTATTCACAAAGAAATACTCATCACATGTGCCTTTCTACCATTTTCTCAAGCCCTTGACCAAATGGCCTGCAAACTTCCCACAAACTAAAAAACTGGCACAGATATACCTTTAAACAGGTATATTGACACAGATATACCTTTAAACAGAAACACCTAACAATGGAAACTCTTCCAATTTTTTTTGAGAAGTGCTATTAAGCATGTTCCACAAACCTTTATAGAATCTAAAATAATAATAATTTTACTTCCCACTTAATTAAAACATCAAGATTATGTACTAAGTGAATCATGAGTATCTAAGAATTTAATCTCAATTTTGGGACTCAGTCCCATCATTCTATGTGCCTCTTATGACCTTGGTTGGATAGTCTCCATTTTGCTCTAGTTGTATGCCAAGCAAGCACATGAGGTTTTATTCGGTTTATCAATTCTTACTCAAATAAGACATACGCAAAACTATGCTAATCACAGACTGAGAGTGCAAGGTGAGTTAAGTAAAATATGACATTTGGAATATGACCAAATCAGAGAATCTACAGAGGTCTACAAAAATCATTTTAATATCATAAGGCAATGAATCAGCACTACAGAGTTTAAATTCAAGCTTCCCTTCAGCTTTGGAAGTTCACTGGCTAAGTTTCAGCATGCATTCTCTCTCAACCCAATATACTTCACAAGGTTATTGCTGTGCAGAAAAATAGAAGAATGGTTTGATATGTACACCAGCAGGAGCTCAGGCAAGCAGACAGGTAGGCAGGCAGGCAGGCAGGTGGGCTGCCAGACGAAACGTTGAGAGAGTATTCACCCAATATTAAAACAACTAGTCATCTAAAATAATTCCTACTTTATTCTAATGAGAAAGTAGAACATGATATTGACACAATATGCTCAACATTTTAGACTCACTTGTGAAAAATAAAATACTTGGAATGACTGATGAAAACTAATTTCACTCTTAAGTGTTCTGCACAAACCAGGAAATCTTTGCAAATATGAAAAATAGATCAGAAAGAGCTTCTTTTATTCAAACAAATAAAAAACATTAAAAGTTCTTAAAGATATTTGAAAATCAGCTCTCAGAATAAGGTCATAACTTGAATTTATTACAAGATAGCTTACCCAGATTTCAGATCAGTAATCCTTAAACAGTTAGTTGCATCCAATCCCACTTTTCCATTTCTGACTACATTGGAGATCAAAGGAGAAAGTGATGGAGAAATTCTGTTTAAGGCAACTTCAGGAGACATATTATTTGTAAATTATATTCAATTCTGCAAAGAAAATAAGAGAAAGTAAGAAAGAGCAATTCCATTTCTACATATCTTCACATTTTAAGAATTTGAAAGACCGCACAAAGAGACACAGATGGAAAAAAGATAAAGGCAAAAAACCTGAAGTAAAGAAAAAAAGCATAGAATTTATGAAGACTGCAGTAAACAAGTAGGATCAAAGCCATTTAGAAAGATAAAAAGAAGGATGTTTGGGCAAGCATTCACCCAAATAAAGCCTGCATGGTCTCTTTAAAATACACATTCATACTCATGATTTCTCAAGCCCTTAACCATTATGTCCATTACTTAATTCCGATGGACAATGCAACTTATGATCTTCAAATATGAGCATAATTTGCTACTAGTTTAATAAACCTCCTAGGCTTATTGCTTGCCAAGAGAGGATCAAATGCTTGGCAGACAAAATATATGGATGGTTCAGCATATTGCAAGTTGTTCAGGCCATAAAAATGTGTTCAATAAAGTAAATAAAATTTCAGCACTGAACTTTAAACAGTACTGTTCAAATTTATTTTACATTGAACTCAACAATCACCAGCACATTTAGTATGGCTCAATTTTGCCCATTTTTCAACTTGGCAAAAGAGAAAGTTTAACTAATGAAAGTCATATTGTATTTGATATGGGTTATGCTGCATTTATTCAAATTATTCAAATAAAATTACAAAAAATGGGATAAAATAAACAGCAAATTTATCATGTTTTCTCTTTTATGAAACTTATATATGGGGTCATATGAAACATTATGGCAGCTCATTAATCATATGCATATGAATAAAAAGTTCAGGAAAGACATGCTAAGTAGACAGTTGTTGGCAGTCATTTATTGAATAACATTTTACATCCCACTGTTTAAAACAGACACCCACTAGAGTAAATAATTTTCATGTGACTCCCAGGACCTAATGTCCTTGAACATATATTTAATTAAAAAAAACTTCAATCAATGCAGAGACAGGTAGTCTTCAACTTATGACTGTAATTGAACCCAAAGTTACAGTTGTAAGTTGTGCTGATGTTTAAGTGGGTCACTATATGACTGTAGTTAATTTTGTGATCTTTTTACAGCGATTGTTAAATGAACCCATTGTAACTAATGGGTTTTTTTTTTGCAGGAAATTGAAACTAAACTCCAGTTTCTGGCAAAAAAAAAATCATAAATCAGTTATGTGAGCATGGTGTACTGCAAATGACTATAATGTGGACTGATTGTCATGTGCCCAAAATGCGATTATGTGACTTTAGGAAGGTTAGGATTAGGGTTATAAGTAGCTCTGGGAAGATCCATTGGAACTTTGAACATTTGCTAAATGATAAGATTGTAAATTAAGGAGTATTTCTACTGCTAAAATTGACTCATGCATTATTAAGGATTTCTTTTTAATACTGACGTGTAATAATAAGTTATTTAACTCGGAATAGCAGGTTTACCCATTAATTCTGTGTTTTGAATGTTTTTTCCCCAGAATGCTCACAGTTGTATGAACTTTAATAAAGACAGCACAGATCTCTGGCTCTTTCTATCCCATCCTCACTATGCCACCTTTAGAAGTGCCCCAAAAGAATCTTAATAATCCAGGAGAGGTTTAGCTGTTGGACAGGAAGCATCTATTTGTTCTTAGCTAATCTTGAAAAACGAACTTTAACCTAATTATTTTGATGACAGCACCATAAAATTCTGAGCTACAGGCTGTACGTTGAATAAAGAATATTTTACTTAGGGGGAGGAACCAATATCCAACCATGTCTCCTCCATTAGAAGATAGATTTCACATTTAAGTAAAAAATATTGCACAAAAATATATATTTCTCAAGTATTCCAAAGCCAATAAGCAACCTAATACTAAAAATGGAAATCCAGATTCAAATCCATCCACATCAATAAAAGCTTTGGAGGGTATTTCTTTAATTAAATGATTAATTTAATTAATAGAAATTTGTTTAGATGCACGACAATATAAAAACACAGCTAAAATGACCATGGTAACTTTACACAATTGATCCAAAGCCAATAAGCAATCTACTAATATTAAAAATTGGAGAGCCACTGTGGTGTTGGACTAGGTCTAGGAGCAGGTTCTAGCCCACCTTCAGCCATGGAAGTTCACTGGCCAACTTTGGGCCAGTTATAACATTTCAGCCCAACTTACTTCACAGGGCTATGGGGAACACTATGTATGTTGCCTTGAATTCCTGTACAAAATGAAAGATATATAGCTAATAAATAAATTAGCTAATAATCCAGACGATATGCAGTCTTTCTGAAACGATCATTGCTTCATTACTTTCTAGAAGGCCATCACTGAGAAGGCCAGCCTAGCTTCTAGAGAGGTTCTTCCACAATATAGGTCCCTTTGGGCTTCAGGCCCCATCATCTTGGAACTGGGGTATCATGAACAGAATCTCCTGGAAGATTTTTCTTGATGGGCCAATTCTGGTTGGATTAGTTGATCCTGAAGTTCAGGAGCATCCTGCAGCCCAAGCAACTTCACAGAGTTGCTGTTCTGGGAGAGAAAAAGGCATAGAGCAGGGGTAGTCAACCTTGGCTCTTTTATGACTCGTGGACTTCAACTCCCAGAATTCCTGAGCCAGCTAAGCTGGCTCAGGAATTCTGGGAATTGAAGTCCACGAGTCATAAAAGAGCCAAGGTTGACTACCCCTGCCATAGAGCGACATTTGTCAACTCAAAACATCTAAAGGAAAAATATATTTAAAAAGTATAATATACGATTTTGTGCCATCAAGTTCTCTTTGACTCCTAGTGGCTACATTCTCCGTGATGAATCACATACGAAGCCTGGCTCCCAAATTTATCTGTTAATAACTGACCATTGGCTATGCAGTGTTTCTCAACCTTAGCAAACATCTGCAAGGGTTTTTAGCTTTGATGTGCTTCGCCAATGGTAACGGAGCAATCTTTCTGAGCGCTACTCGGCGAAAGGCAAGAGCATAACTATCAAGGCTTGGAGGGGGAGGGGCCGTATGCACCCGATAAAAAAAGGGGGAATGCAAGAACGAAAGCTCCGATTTCCACCGCAGGAACTCCTACACTTGACGCTGAATCCCACAGCAAGGAAGAACAGGCACAGGAAACGCAGGTGGCACAGCCACCCAGCCCGCCTGGAACCGGCTCGGCTTCCTCCGGCCTCCCTCAACCACCACCGAGACTAAAGGACACCTGCGGAAGGATCAGAAGAAGCGCTTACAAACCCCGAAACTGCGCCGACCGCTCGCCTCTCCCTCGCGCCGCGGGCGCCTGCGTGGATCCGCCCACTGAAGCCTGGCACGCTACAGTACGTGCGCGCCGCGAGCCGCCTTGCAGACAAGTCGAGCGCCCCGCCGGTCCCTCCTGGAAAGCCCAGGAAAGGAAAGCGGGCCTTCCCTAATCAGTATAGGTGGTCTGCGCGCGCCTGACTTGAATACGGGGTTTTTTTATATATATATATATAAACGACGAGGACGATGTTGCAGCAAGATTCTGTACTGACAATTGGTCTCGTCCGTTGGGAGGCACGTAGGCCGCGAGTTAGCGTGAAAACCTGTTAAAAAGATCCGTCAGGCATTTCAAAGGGGTAGCCTACTAGATCCGTGAAGGACCCCGCAGGTAAAGCGGGGTTGGATAAACTGGAAGTTCGATAATAGGCAGATAATGTTGAGGGCGGCTGGAGGAGAGGCAGGTTAAAGATCACGTTGTGGAGAAAAAGTTTCTCGTAGTGGCTCCTTGCTCGCTTCTCAGCATGGTAGTTGCAGAAATCGTGGTGGTGGGATCCTGTATGACTGATCTAGTGAGGTTAGTATTGTACACGAGGCCCTGCTTTTCCCTAAGTCAATACAATACAAAAAAACTGGTCCAAGCAAATAAATCAGAGACTTCCTTTTACATTGAAAGAAAAGGGTTGGATCCAGAGGTCCTCAAACTCTTCAGTTCACCAACCTCTTCCTGAAGTTTCAGATCGTTTATTGACCCTCCAAATATGTATTATATTAAACTAATTTAATTAATACTACTTTTAACTGACAACACTTATGAATCAATAATGGATTGTCCTGCCAACTCCTGGGGTACAGTATGGACCACTTTGGGAAAAACTTAATTTATACTAATCCTAATCATTTGAAATGTTACCTAAAAAGGAACCTAATATGAAGCAGTCCTGAGAGTTTTAATCCACATTTGAGTTAAAGGAGATTTTGCTGTGTAAATAAAACAGCTTGATCGTTTAAGTATGATTATTTGCTTCCTAATTTGTGGTATTTTTACCTGATGTAAACAGATTTTTCTTTGTAGGCTGATCAGAAATTATCAGATCTACTGATTGTGAGCATGTTTGTTTTTTTTCTAATGATGCTGTTGTGCCATGATAAAATGGAACTAGAAAAGCAATACTGGCTAGAAAGTAGAACTGTTCATTGGATATCTTTGTTCCCATCCATGACCTCACAAACTGTTGTAATCAGGGCTTTTTTTTGTCATAGAACGCCCAGAACCGAGTTCCGGCACCTTTTTGGGATGGAACCTTGTAGGGTAGGCAAGGTGGGTTGTATGACATGTGTGAGTTCCAGCACTTTTTTTTTTTTTTAACAAAAAAGCACTGGTTGTAATCATTGAATATTTAAAATATCCTTTGTGTTAAAAACAGTCTCATCTGTAGGATAAGAAAGAAAAATCTAAATGTATACAGTGTTGACACGAAGAGATGCAAGAACCTATTGTAAGACTAAAATAGCAATATAAATAGTAACATATTGCTAACTCTTATGTAGTACTGTTTAAGAAATCCATGAAGAAATCCATACATCAGAAACATCTCTAAATGATTGTGCAAATCAGCTTTTTTATTTACTCCTAGATTTTCAGATCAGAAATTTTCATCTCCTCTTTATACCAGCGGTTCTTAACCTATGGGTCGCGACCCCATTTGGGGTCGATCGACCATTTCACGGGGGTCACCAAGCAAGGCTGTCCGCCATTTTTTCCCCCTTTTCCGGCGGGTGCTTTACCTCCCTTGGGCTGGGCCAGCTGGTGGTCGGCCTGTTCCGTCTCTGCCGCTTGCCAGCTACGCCTTGGCCGGCGCAGGGGGCGGAACCACGCATGCGCGGCGCTCCCGGGCAGGGAAAGTCCTCGACTTACGACCGGTTGGGTAGTCCTCGACTTACGACCGGTTTAGTCCTCGACTTACGACTGGTTGGGGGTCGCGGCATTAAAAAGGTTGAGAACCACTGCTTTACACAAAGCATAGAATCAAATGAGAGTACTAGAAGAGACAGTACGTTTACAATTTTGATTAAAAATATTTATTTTAGGGAGATTTATTTCTAAATATGCTTGAGAGATACAGTACAACTTGTTCTTTAAAGTTGTTGAAACTTTAGGGCAAATGTATATAACATTTGATTCTGCTTTACTTCCAGTCTCTTTCATCTCATTGAATCAGGGAGAACCTATCTGAATTTCTTATTTCTTTAAGGATTTAACAAAATGTTTCTTTGCTTATATAACAGTTCTTGCCGATTTTTCATCTTTCTGACACTTTATCCCAGCCATATATATATAAAGCATTAAGGCTTGTAGCATTTCAGATTTGGTTCAACTTAAAACCAAGTATACTTTTTCCCAAGATTGCAGTACATTCATGTGAATTGCAGAACATTTCTGCCAAATGATTTTGAAGTGTGCACAGCCCAAATTCACAGGTTCAGCCAATGGTCTGCACATGTCTATAGCCAGATTTAGCTTTGTAAGCACAAAAGTAACAGCAACTTTAATATTTATTTTTAGTAATTTTAATTGTCTCTTGATGTAATCATGGAAAAGAGAATTGAACCCAAAAGAATAACTGAAGTGTGTTGAGAGGAGTGGCTCTTTTATCTTCTTCCTAAACTGACTTTCATTTGCATCAGTGCTGAAGCATTTGAGATTCAGATATTTTATGCAAGAAATAATATTAAATTAGTAACATTGTGTACATTCTTAGCCCTTTTTTCTGGTTCTCTGCATCAGTAAGCAAGTAATCTATAGTGGGACATACTACAGAATTGTTTTTCCAATCTTCCTGTCCTCAAGGAAGTAAATAACAATTCAATACAGATAAGGCATTTTTAACCTGAATGGAAGATGCCTGTCTGAAATATTGTCTCTGATGAAAACAAATGTATAGCTATATAAAGCCTCCATTTTTCAAACAGAAGAATTACCTTATAATTAGTCTCAACCAGGCCAGGCCAGTAGGTGAGACCCTTCTGCGCTCTCTCTCTCTCTCTCTCTCTCTCTCTTCCGGTGGCAGGCGCCTTCGCTGGACGCAGCTGTTTGCTGCTCCCGCCTGTTTCTGCGTAAAAGCCGTTTTGACAGCCTGCATCAGCTGTCAAACGGCTTGATACCTTTCCCCTGGGCATAGGGGGAAAGGTGAGCTGCCCGAGGTAGGAGTTGAGTTCCCGAGTCGTCCCTTGTGGACGATGTAGGTGAGAACTC